GATTTTTCCTAAAGGTGTCATGACGCTGGAGTTGTTTAAGTGAGTTGTTGTTGTGGTTGTTGGTGGTGGTGGTGAAAGTGGTTGTTGTTGTTGTTGCTGTTGTTGTGGTTGTTGTTGTTGTTGTTGTTGTTGTTGTTGGGGCAAGACCATTCAGATCTTTCTTAAAGGTGTTATGGCGCTGGAGTTGTTTAAGTGAGTTGCTGCTGTTGTGGTTGTTGTTATTGTTGGGGCAAGATGGTGGAGATCTTTCCTAAAGGCGTTATGATGCTGGAGTTGTTTGAGTGAGTTTTTTTTTGCTTATTTTGTTGTTGGTGTTGTTGTTGTTGTTGGTGTTGTTGTTGTTGTTGGTGGTGGTAGTAGTGGTGGTTGTTGTGGTGAATGTAGTGTTTTTGTTGTCGTTGTTGTTGAAGGAGATCTGTCCTAAAGAGGTCATGACTCTGGAGTTGTTCAAGTGAGTCCTTGTTCCTCATTCTCTTACCTATTCTTATCCGTAAAATGCTCCCAATTGTTCCTCTTTCACTTTCAGACAAAAAGAGACGTACACGTGGCAGAACGTCAACTTCAATATCCACAACATCATCGTGGGCCAGCTCTGGGTGGAGCATGTGAGTACCCCGCTTTTGTTGTCGAAAAACTTTTCTTTTAGACTTAGTAAGGTTTTAGTACGGCGATCACAGCTGTATTAAGTCATACAAGTGCCAAGGGGTGGATGTCAACGGAGAAGTCCATACAGGGAATCAGACTTACTCTGATCACCTCTCCAGCTTCAACAGCACAAAGTCTGCTTCAACTATCAAGGCACCTCGGAAATAGTGGGTCACGAGAGAGTGACAAACATACAAAAGAAGTTGAGGAGAAATGACGATAGTAAGGATGAGGAACGAAAAAGCATCAGTCAGTTCCCCCTATGTTGTTCCGGCACAGTATGAGCATGACAGTGATAAATCAGCCCATTTACAATTCTACTGTGCATAACAACATGTTTCTATCCCCCCTTTTGGGAATGGCCTAAAGACACTTCAGTCAGTGGCACTGCCGGAAAACTTTTCATTTTGGGAAAAAGATAGTACAGTATAACACGGATAGGTCGAACACTGAAGACTCCAAATCACGCGTCCGTTGAACTGTGCCTGTGGTCCCGGTTTTTTGGGGTTTTTTTTTCTTTGTCTTCTTTATCTTTGTGAGATATCCTCGCCTCGAACTACAGATCCCTCAAACTACCGAGGCCGGTCCCGACGAATTTGAGCTATCTGTGTTTTACTGTAGGTGTAAAGTGCATAGAGCA